GCCCGCCACCCCGGCCGGTCTCCTCGCACGCCCCTGCCCAGGTGTTCGTGTTGGCGCTCACATTCCTCGTCCTCTTCCTGGGCAATTTCCTGACCACACTCAAAGTCGTGCACACGAAACTTCAGAAGAACAGAAACAAGGGGAAGAAGCTGTGAGCCAAGGGACCCGTGCGCCCCCCCCAGCCCCCCGGGGTTCAAGACTGCGGGGGGGGTTCGGCTGGCACGATTCCTCCCCACGGTGTCTGCGGCCACTGCCAGCAGCCGGCCCAGGGGCCAGCGCGGGGCTGGGGGTGGCCAAGGCCCCGGCCCCCGGCGGACAAGGGCAACGTGACCCCTGCCTGTCCGCACGGCCTTCGCCCGCCCCAGCCTCCCCTGTTTATGACGTATCACTACGGGCTCCTCCCGACTGCCCTAGAACCCGCAGTCTTCCCTCGCTGCCGTCTTGGCTGCGGCTGAGCCTGGGTCAGTCTTCCTGGGGTGGGGGTGGGGGGGCCTAAAGCCTCAGGGAGCCCCTCAGGTTGGGGTCCGGGGTGCCCACCGGCTACTTCCTGATCCCCAGCGGGCGGAAGGAAACCCCTCGGCGGCCTGTGGAGCCTCCCGCCCCGGGGCACACCGCTTCTGCTGTAAGCTCTCCACGCTGCTCCGTGGTGGGGCTATTTAAGTTCTCGGAGAACCACTGTCTGTCTGTGCCTTGTGCTCTTTGCGCTCCCCGAGTCTCCAGCCTGCCGGCCACCTGCACACAGCTGCCCTCCCTCCCCGACGGCGCGGCCCCCGGGGTGGGCCCGAGGCGCGAGGGTTTGCAGTGACCACCAGAGGACGCCCCAGCCTCGGCATCCCTTGGGTGGTTTGAGGGCTTTTTTTTTTTTTTTTTTTTTGACACTTGAGAGTTTGGCTTCCTGACCCCCACCCCTCAGCCCACTTCCCGGAATTCTTGCATTGAGTTCTCAGAGAGTGGGTCTTCAGTGCTGGCTTGAGACTTAAGGCCCATCCTCCCCGCCTCCCTCCCTTCCCCTCAGGTTCTGGAATGTGGTGGGGAGAGTCTGAGCAGGCTCCTTTCCAGGAGGAGGCACTTGAGAGGCCAGGACAAGCCTGCTGGTCACCTTGTGTCCGATTCTGTATTTGTGGGGAGGGTGAAGAAGCTAGCAGATTTGGTTGAATGTTCTGCCCCTGCTCCCTACACCGGCCGCAGCCTTCCTCCCACACATGGGTCTCAGCTGCCCTTAACTACCTCCCTACAAATCCCCTCTGACCAGAGTTCACAGCTCGCATCCATAGTCATGCTTTGGCCCCCAGAGGAGTTGAAGCTTTTTTAATTGTTAATTTTTAAAAATATGAAATTCCCCTTCCACCCCCGTAAGAGTCGACATAAAAACCCAGATTTCTACTTTCCCTAGAAAAATGGAAAGCTCTTGGCTGGGCTGAGCTGCCTGCCTAGGATGGGGTGCTTGCTTTCTAGTGTGCCACAGACCCCACCACTCCCTTTTATACCTGTCCTCTTTCACTCATTTGGGTCCTTCATCGGGCCCTGAGGCACCTGGGTTTTCCCTGGACTAGGAATCGGCGAACTTTCTGTAGAGGGCCAGATAATCCGTCACAGTTTGCCTCGTCTGCAGTGGTAGGGCCAAGGCAGCCAATGCCTAAATAAACGAGTGTGGCTGTGTCCCAACGAAACTTTATTTACAAAAACACACAGCTGCCAGATTTGGTCCACAGAGTATGGTTTCTAACCTCTCTCCTGTACCATCACTTGTCCATGAGGCCTTGGACTGAGTGCTCTTTTGACTCCCCAGGGCATGGCAGGGCCTTGGGGAACCAGGGTGGGGTGAGGTGGGATGGGGTGGAACACAGGCGTCTCTCCCTAGCAGCTGACGTCAGAGAGGCTCAGGCTTAGTGGGGGCTGAGGCAGGAGATCCTGGGAGGGCAGGAGCCACCTCAAGCCATTATCCCAGGTTCAGCGATACTGACTTGTAGCTCACTCAGGAAGCAAGCAGCTCTCAATCTCTGGGGCAGCGGCATCACCTGGAGCACTTGTTTAAAAACTCCTGGCCCCAGAAGGTTCAGTGAATCTGCAGCTGGGGGTTGCGTGTTCTCGTAGGAAGCCAGGATAGTCTCAGCTTGGCAGAAGTGGGGGCTGTGAGGGACAGGAGGGCGTGATGACTATTAAAATGAGTCAGTGCTGTCCTTTTGCAGAGAGGGAAACAGTCTGTAGAGAGAAGTGACTTGCCCATGATCATTCGGGGCTGATGTCACTTTTCGTCTTGAGTTTCCGGCAGTGGGGGGTTGCAGGTGAGGAGCCCCTGATGGGCCTGGGGTACTTTTTGCTTCTCGAGAGAGTCTCTTCTCCCCCTTGGGCATGTGCACCCAGCTCTGGAAAGATGGCAGCCCGGCCGAAGGCTGAGACTGAAGTCCTCTGTGGGTGAGGGGTGGGGGCCGGTGGCAGCCCCCATGTCCGGGGCTGGTGCGTGCGCTGTCCCGATAAGTCCCCGTCCCATTGTGGCCCCCACGTTCCTGGAGGAAGGAAGCCAGAAGCTGGAGGATGCAGCCGTGCCTATCTCGAGCCCAGGGAGGCGGGTGACGCAGAGTAGCGGGCTTGAGGGGGGCCGTGTGGAGCGCTGACAAATCCACATTTTTATCCACGTACCAGATGTAGTTGTTTGTCTCAAGCACAGGCTTTCAGGACCTACCGGGTGTGCAAAGGGGGACACACATGGCTGGGGGGCGGCTGTGTACTCCCGAGTCCTACAGACAAATGCTGGTTCTAGGGTACAGAGAGACTGAATCCGGCACCCTCACCCCCCCCCAAGCAGGCCCAGCTCCCAGGGGAACGTGGAGGTGAGTTCATGGTCAGAGCCCCAGCTGGGGAAGGAGAGATCTCCAGAATGCTCTAAGAGTCTAGCCACAGGCTCCAGACACAGGGAGACACCCAACTCAAAGTGCCGCTGGGAAGCTGGGGACGGAGCAGGATCTCGGGGTGCAGTCCGGGCCTGGCAGCCTGGGCCCTGTCAGTCTTGCATGAGGGCTGTGTGCCCTGCCCGGGGGGCTCAGAGCAGCAAACACAACGGGCGTTTCTGCCGCTGTGCTTTCTTCAGAGCGCTGAGGGCAACCTTGGCTGCTGCTCGGAAGACGTCCTCCACGTTCTCCCGAAACTTGGCAGAACATTCCAGGTAGAGGGCGGCTCGGATCTGTTCGCAGGCACTCTGGCCCTGGGGAGGGGGAAGGGGCCGGCATTAGATGAGGGGCCTGGAGCATGGGGCACCTCCTGACACCCCCCCATGGATTTGGGAACTTGGAGCTGGCTTTGGGGGCTCTCCGAGGGGAGGGTGGTCTTGGTGAGGAGCCCCCTTCCCCCCATCCCCCCATCCCAGGCCCAGCCCCCAGCAGTGTGTGTGGATGCAATGGAAGGGCCTGCGGTGCGGCCCAGGGGCTCCGGCGGTGGCGGCTGAGAGAAGCCCCATCCTGCCTCTACCCTGCCCCCCTCTCCTACTTCAGGCCCCGTTTAGGCAATGGAACTGGTGAGGACAGTAAAAACTAGCTCTACTTCTAAAATGTACTCTTATTAACGCTTCTTCTTTTTTATTAAACTTTCTTATTAGTTTTCCTTTGTGTTCCTTTTATTGTCCCATGCCTCGCCCAGAAAAGCCGCGGGGTTTGGTTTTGCCCATGACTCTCACGGGTAGGGGAGCCCTGCTCTCGAACAAGGCCTGCCCCTCCAGTCCCCTGGGGCAGACGAGACAGGATCCTGGCTACGCTGCACATTAGCTGTGTGACTCTCAACCTCCACTTCACCCCTCTGGGTCTCAGGTTCTCCCCTGTAAAACAGGGGATGCGAATAGTCCGCACCTCAGGGTTATAAGGATGAAATGAGGTAGGGAAGCGGAGGATGGGGGAGAGCGGAGACCCCTTCCTGACCTGCATGTAGGTGATGGGCTCCAGCTGGGCGGCCCGGAGCTTCCGAAGCTGCTCCTTGTCTTTGCGCAGGTCTGTCTTGCAGCCAATGAGCACCATGGGGGTCCCACGGCAGAAATGTGTGACCTCAGGGAACCACTGCGGAGGGAGAGGGCAGGCGTCAGGGCTGAGGCCAGATCCGTGGGCCCCCCCCCCCCCAAGGCAGGCTGGCTGGGTCACGGGCCTCACCTTGATGAGGACGTTGTCATAGCTGGTGGGGTTCATGACGTCATAGCAGATGAGCACGAGGTGGGTGTTCTGGTAGGACAGGGGCCGCAGCCGGTCATAATCTTCCTGCCCTGAAATGGGAGAGGAGGTAGGGGTCAGGGAGGCACCACCCCCTTGTCCACCTGAGTCCCCTGTCTGGGCTCTGTCTCCAAGGCCTCGGTTTGCTCATCTGTAAAACAGACATGGCAGCCCACAGTAGCAAAAGTTCCAGGAGATAAAACCCATGCGGTGCTCAGAACCGGGTCTGATTACAGGGTAATCAGGAGAAGCTGGAGAACCTGCTAGCAATTATGTCCGTGGCAATTACTGCCTACCCCCACCCTGCCCCGGGCCAAATCAACTCCCCTCCGGGAAGAAGGTTGGGGGGCGCTGGGGGGGGGACTAGGCCACTGCAGGATCTGGGAGGGGACCCCCAGGCCGAGAGGCGGGGCCTTGGGTTGAATTCCTCCTGCCCTTCTGGCAAACCCCAGGAGGAGAGTGGTCGGGGGCCGGGCACAGCTGCTGTCAGGCTCACCTGGGGAGTCGGCTGGTGCTCGGACCCCCCCCTGCACTGACTGAATCAGACGCCAAGGCTGGGTGTGGATTTTTAATGCTTTTTAGTAATTTTTTTAACTGACAATTTCAAACTTACAGAAAAGTTGCCAAAAGGGTGCCAAGAGCTCCCTCAGATTCCTGAGTATTTACATTTTGCCCCACTTGCCCTTTGTACACGTAAACACTTGAGCAGGTCAGAGTCCCTGCACACATTCTGCGGCCTCAACCCAGCACAGTCCTTGCGGATTTCTAAGAACAGGCGTGTTCTATCACCTCCCGTAGAACAACTAGCAAGCTGGAGCAAGCACCACGGACGCCGGGCTCTAACCCAACCCACGGGCCGCACTCAGATCTCAGCGGTGATGTCCTGTGGTCGTTCTGCCCCAGTCCAGAAGCAGGCCCAGGATTATGCCCTGCCCTGAGTCACCGGTATGCCCTAGTATTATTTAAAAACTCCCCCAGTGAGAACGGAGAGCCTTTTGGGCTCCCTGGCAGCTCTCCAGCTGCCTCTGCAAAGGCAGAAAGGTGACTTTCTTCCAGGACCTGGAACACAGAGGCCCAGGAGTCCCCTGCCCCTCCCCCTAACCTGGGGGTGCCTGGGTGCCAGCCTGCCCTCCTGCTCCCTCCCTGCCAAAGCTGGCCTCTCCATTGAGCAAGGATAGGCCACATCCTCGTCCTCCTGGCCCCCAGCTGCTGCCGGGGACACTGCCACGCTCTGCCTTCCCCCTGGCTGTCCCTCAATCCGGGACCCCTGCGGTGTGCAGTGTGACCGGGACTCACAGCTAGGACAAAGGCTGGGCCAGGAGGACTCCATGCTGCCATTCAGCCAGAGTCCCCCCAACACTGTGGAAGGAGTGAGGGCTGTCAGGGCCTGGCCGACTCAGACTCTTCTGCCCTCATCACCAAGCTGGAGAAATCCTTGTAACTGCTGGGAAACCCACCCAGGATGCTGCTCCAGCCCATCTCCTCCAAACTGTCCCCTCTCCTAATCTTGGTCCATGTCTTTCTAGACCTGTGCTGTCCAATGGGGCAGCCACTAGCCCCATGCAGCTACTTAAATTAATTAACATTAAAAATTCAGGTTCTCCATTGCACTAGCTACATTTCAAGTGATTAATTGCCACACAGGGCTAGTGGCTCCCGGGACGGGCAGCATGGGTGCAGGACATCCCATCGCTGCAGAAGGTTCTATTGGACAGCATGGCACCATCCTGTCCAAGCCATCTCTGGTCTCCCATGATCTGCTGCTGCCCCTCAACAGTCCATTCTCCGCCCGGCAGCTGGCCGGATCTAAGACATAAGGAAGATCCTGCCTCTCTCCCCTCAAATGAAGAATACTTTCAATAGCTCCCTATTGCCCTTTGTATAAAATCCAAACATCTCCCAAGGGTCCACATGACCTGGCACCCACAGACCTGACCTTTTCTCCCCCCAAGTCCCCCGAGCCCCGCTGTTTCTTAAACCCACCAAGCTTTTGTGCCCCAGAGCCTTTGTACTTGCTGTCCACCCCCAACCTGGAATGCTTTCCCTACTCACCCCCCCCATTTTTTCTTAGCATTTTACTTTAAAACTTTCAAACTGAATGTCATTATTTCCTTTTTCAGGATAATTGTCTTCTCTCTACTCCTTCGCAATAACACCACTTTATGCTTTATACACTTTTTAGAGTGCTTCTGCCTATGAACCGTTAAGAAATCCTTACAGCCATCACCTGATGGGCTAGACAGGAAGTGAAGAATGGAAATATTCTGAGAATATCTGAGAAACTGAGCTTCAGGGAAGTGACCTGCCCAAGGTCCCTGCAGCAGTCACCCAGCCGGGGCCCAACCCCGGTCCAGCCGGGTCCTGGTCGAGCACTCCTGCTGATAGCCAGCAACGCTCTGTTTTGCTTTGCATTGTGCCAACATGGGTTCTGGGCCCCTATGATGTAACGGTGAAGCTCCTACTTCTGGTACAACGTGCATGTCTATTCCCCGTTAGAAATCCAGCGGGAGTGGACAAGTAGCTGTAAAATGGGCCTCCTGTGCTCTGTCGGCTTCCCTTATCCTGAACGGCGGGCTCCTCATAGAGGCCTTCCCTCACCACGCAGCATCTGCCCCCTGCACTGGGTGTCCAGTGGGCCTGTCCTTAAAAATCATCCCTGGTGCCTGGCAGGCGTCCAGTCAGGCCTGGCTGCTTATCTGCTCTTGTCAGATGCAGCAGAGAGCAGGGCTGCGCCGGGCCAGGGGGTTTAGCAACTCCGGCTGGGGAGGATTTCAGTACTGCGGCTGGAAGGAGGAAGTCAGACTGAGCCCCCCTCCCCCTCCCCCGCCCGGGGCCTCTGCCCTTGCCCGTCCCTCATCCCTCTTCGAAAGGTTCTTCTTGCCCAAGGATGCCTTGCTCCCTCCTTTCCTTCAGGTCTCTGCAGAAACGTCACCTCCTCCGGGAGAGCCTCCCTGACTACTGCCCCACACCCGACCATGGCTCTATTATTCTTCTGAGTACTGTCACTCCCTGCTGCTGGGTTTTGGTTTGGTTTTGTCTGCCCCACGAGCAGAGAAGCCCCTGAGGACAGTTATAGCCCCTGGGACACAGGTGAGCTCAGTAACTGTTGGGTGAATGAACGCACAAACACATGAGTGTGTGAATATGGGGTAATGATAACCTTTCTGGCTTTCAGCAAGGGCATTTCACTTCGGTCACCTGTGTTCATTGAAGCAGCCACCCTGGGAGGTACACTAGGTGGAGAAAGTTCTTCCTGTAAGGAGCCCATGTGTCCTAGAGGGGCCTTTTCCAAGGTCATAGACAGGTTCCCCGTGAGCTGGAGCGCCAACTCAGTCAGCAAGTTCAGCGCCTGCCACGCCACTCTAAAACTGCCAAAAATTCTCTTAGGAAGCCTTCCCTGGACTTCCCAACTGGGAATCAACCTCTGGACCTTGTTGCCTTACAAATGGTTTCCTCACCTGTGAAACGGGTACGTGAGAAGCAGGTGAGCCTTGATAACGATACTAAAAGGAGTGAGTATCAACAACACATGTCGGCAATGGGCTCCCTCGTTATGAAGGCTCATTATGCTCACCCACGGCTTCACTTGAAGCCCGTTGCCTGCACTAACCCGTCATTCCTCATTACGATGCTAACAGGGTAGGGCTCTTGTCATCCCCATTTTACAGATGCAGAAACTGATGCACAGAAAGGTGAAGTGAGTCGCCTTAAGGTCACACAGCTAGGGGGAAGCTCTGTAAAAGAGAGAGGACCATAGGGAAGACTACTGGGGGTGCCTCTCTCTCAGTCCACTCCAGAGGGTAGGGAGCTGTCCTGACCCTACAAGCCCCAGGCCTGACCAAAAGGCTGCCAACACAGGTATCTCGAGACAGAGAGAGGGGCTCTGGGAGGCGATGGGCAGCCAGCCCAGATCCTAGCTCTCTCCTCCCGGCTGCCTTCCTGACTTGACTGTGCCTGGCTCAGCTTTTCCCAAGATTCAGTGTTGGACCTCCACGTGGGGACCAGGCCTGCAAATGATGGACATGTTGACCTCATGTCCCCTCGGGAGATGTGGAGGGTTCTGGACGCCACTCCTGTAGGACTACACTCAGACTCACGTTCTGTGACCTGGGTGCCTTCCCTCTCTGGACCTCAGTTTCCTTATCTAGCAGAGGGGGTGATAGCCCTGCCCCTGATACTGGAAGTGAAGGACTTGTAGGCTAAGCAATGCTGAACAAAGGTGAAGGACTGTTACTATGGTTACTATTAAGACAGAAACTTCCAGGGCCTGGGGGCCTGGGCAGGGATCTAACCCCAGATCTTTGGACGCACCAGCTTTAGGGGATCCCCCAGCCACAAGGTGCTACTATTATCCTCCCCATTTACCCGCACTGATGCCAAGACTTAAAGGGGCCAAGTCACCTGTCCAGCGGCACACCGGGGTCCCACTCTGGCCTCTGCAGATGGGCTTGCACAGAGTTGCGTGCAAAGGGATGCATTTGTTTCTAGCAAGGAAAGGTCTTCTGGGCCACAGCTCCCCTTGAAGTGGCCCATTTTCCTGAAGCTGGTGGGGCTGTGGGGTGGGGAGGAAGTGAGGCTCTCTCTCCCACTTAGCACAAGGGTATTTCCTTTGTGGGAAGGAGCTTTGTTGTGTCAGTCACTTTCCAGGGGCAGGGGTCTCTAAGGCCTGGAGCTAGGCTGAGAAGAGGGTGTCACTGGGCCACAGTGATCCCCATATCTGCTGGCCATACAGAGAGCAGGTGGTTCCCAGCTCCAGCCAGGGCATTGGTCAGGGGAGGGGCGCAGGCCACATAAGAAGGGGAAGCTGCCAGAAGAGGAACCCACTTACTGCTATTGGGGCCCGCCCACCTGCGTTTCCTCCCCAGAGGCGGGAGTGGCTGGGGCAGCCCCAGCCTGGAGCCCACGTTCTGACTGCCCGCAGCTTCAGCTCTTCAAGCCCCCAGGGCTTCTGGCTCTTAGACATCCCTCTGCTCCCTGATTCCCTGTCTCAGCAACTCCTTTGCGCCACCCCCCACCCCCGCAACTGTTCCTACTGTTCCCATCTCAGGCTGGGAAGGGGACCACAACTCCCCACCTCCTGGGCCACCCCCATCCCATCCTGTGATGCCCCGCCCCTGGACCCCACCCCAAGGCCCAGATAGCTCCATCTCTAGTTGGTGTCTTAACATCCCACCTTGCCCCCACCTCCCCTCTGCCCAGGAAACTTCAGACTGCACCACAGCTTCCTGCCTCTGTGGGTGTCAGGGCCCACAGCGAAGTGCTCACTGGGCCCGTCTCCCCTTCACCTGTCAGCACGGAGAGCTCCGCCACCCCTCCAACCAGCCTCCCACTGCTGGGGCATCTGTATCTGCTTCTGCAGGATGGAGACAAGCAGCCAAACTGGCCTCCCAGGGGCCACCCCTGTCCCATAGCTCTGGTCACCGGCAGTTGGCTGGAAAGATGCCACTCTGCACCCCCATCCCCCACCACGGGGTCTAGCTCAGCAGGTTCCAGAACCTTCTACAACAACCTTTATGAGACTCGTCTCCAGCTCAGCCACTCCCCTCACCCCCTTAGTCTCTTCCTCTAGTTGGTCCCCTGGCCCTCCTTTTTTGCCACTGATTTTTGATCTCCATCCACCCACGGGTAGAGACGGTCTCACTGCCTTTATCATTCTCCAGGAGCACCTCTGCCTCCAAATCTCTTCTGCATTCGTTCCTCAGGCACCATGCTGGGCGCTGGCATATGGAAGAGGAATGACCCAGTCTCTCCTTCACGGTCCTTGCGACAGGGCTTCCTGGGTCACAGCGGGACACCCCGCAAGGAGCGGCCACGTTTCTTTCTCCCTGAGTATTCCTCCTGGGGCTGTCCTGCTGACCGTGAAGCCTGTCGACTTCCCTAGGACTTCACTGCGTCGTTCAACCTCCAGCTCTGTTTCTCTGCGGCTTGCCAGAGTCCTTCGGGGAGGGTGGGGGGAGGCAGCTCAGAGCTCTGCAGGCCTTCGATTCAGAACAGGTTGGGCTTGGGTCTGAGCCTGAATGGCCGGGCGGGGGTTGGGGGTGGCGGCCTTAAAAAATCATGACAACACTTAGCCCTTCCCAACAGCTGACCCCTGTGTTACACATCACATGGATCTAGTGTAATCCTCAAGACTAATTTAGTTAGCCCTGATTACTGATGAGGAAACTGAGGCCCAGATGACACATAGCCAGGGAGCCAGCATCAAAGCCCAGGTCTGATTCCAAAGCATGGGGCAGGAAGATCATCACCGCTGTGGCGGCCCCGTGCCTCTGCTGACTGGGCCTGGAGCCCCTCCAATTCCTCCTGCAGCAGCTGTGAGCGCAAATCCTTCTTACACCAAACAGAAATCTCCCGGAACCTCCACACCACAATCTGCCCTAAAATGTTCTTTGAGCATCTTTTTCTGGCCAAGGCCACAAAGACCAGAAATGGTCCCTGTGCTGGGTCTGATGGGGGAGGCTTCCATGAACAGTGAAGCCTAGGGATCTGATAGGAGAGGCCCTGAGGTCCCAGAGGACGGAGGAGAGTGAAAACCATCCTGTGAACTCTCCCCGCCTCACCAGCACCTCACCCACAAAGTGGGGCTGATGGACCTGCCCCTTCCTGGGTCCCCGACAGGAAGTATGTGAAACTAAAAGTATCCCAGACACACTGTAAGTTTTACTGCTCTTATGGCTACGCCCCCGGGGAATTTCTCAGCAACCTTTGGCTTTCTCAGTTCACAGGGCTGGAAGCAGGGCCCTGTTCTAGGGGCAGTGGTTTGGGGCCCTCATCCAACAAGAGGGGGGTCCTTAGAAGCCACTATAGGATGGGTCCCACCCTACAATAAAGGCTGCTGAAGTCAGGAATGGAGGAGGGGTCTGGGGATGGGGTGATCCCTTTTCTGATTCTCTCCAGGGTGGAGTGAGAGATGCTACTCGCCGCCTTGGGGTGGGGGATGTCTGGATTTTGGCTCCATCCAAGGCTAGTGGAGACTTCCCCTCACATGGACAAGGCTTGGCTGGCAGTGGACAGGGCACCTGGTGACGCGGTTCCACGCAGGTCACTAAACACTGAGAGAGGTTGGGTGAGATCCTGACCTTTGTCCCCCAATGTTGGTTCAGCCCAGAAGGGGATTCAGTGCAGGATGGAAGCTCCCTGAGGGCAGACACCTGGCACCCGCCCACCCCCCTCCCCGCGTTGCAATGGGGACTCTGATAACTGACCCGATTAGCCTAAATCCACTTGCATTAGGAGCTGCAGGTGGCCAAGAGAACCTTATTCTGGACTTAGAGCTCTGTTCCTTCCTCAGTGCTTGGTTTATCCCCAGGGAACCAGGAAGACACAGAATTGTAGCCCGAATCCCAGAACTACAGGCTCAAAACTGTGGACCACAGAATTCCAGAACCATGTACTGTAGCCGATGGAATCCCAGAAGTGTGGAACTCAGAATTCATGTCCACAGGACCCCGGAGCCTCAGGATTGTCAACCACAAAATCCCGGAGTCACAGGCTCTGATCTGTAGCCCAGAGTATTCTAGAACCACAGGACCCAGAAATTCAGCCCACAGAATCCTAGCACCAGGGGACTCAAATCTGCAGCCCACAGAATCTTAAGAGACCACGGCATGCAACACACGAAATCCTGGAACCATGGGAAGCAGAAGCGATGCCCACGGTTTTCTAGAACCTCAGAAGAGGAACGAAGCCGTGGGTTCTCAGCACATTAAGCGCTAGGAGGGTGGCCGAGGAGCTCATCTCATTCAAGTACCCTCCTTTCAAAGATGGGGCGACCGAGGCCCTCTGGGCCTCCAGGGCCACCCTGCCAGAGCCCCTCCGCGGCCTTCAGGAGTGCTGGGAAGTCAGGGCCCCACAGGGGCTGGTGGGCGGGGATGCCCGGAGGGGGATGCCCGGGCGGGGGGAAGGGGGGAACCCTTCGGGCACCAGGGACCCTCGCTGCGCAGGCGCACTCACCGGCGGTATCGTACAGGTTCAGGGTCACCTCCTTGCTGCCCACAGTCACGCTGGCCGTGTATTTCTCGAACACAGATGGGGCGTAGTCCTGTCGGAGAAGAGGTCGGCTGGTTCTTAAGGGGTGCGACGGGGGCCCAGGGTCCAGCTGCGCCGCCCCCCTTCACCCCATCCAGCTCAGCTCCCCTCACCCCGCTGGGCTCTGGAATTCCCGAGGGGGCGCCCCGGGGTGGCGGCTGCCTCTCCACGCGCAGGACGCCGGGGAGCCGGGGTCCAGGCTCAAGATGCAGGCTGAAGGCCATCCGTCAACCCCCGGTGGTCCCAAGCCCGTTTGCCCCGCAGTCTAACCCCCACCAGCCCCCCGGCGGGCCTCACCTCAGGGAAGGAGCCCTGGCTGTACACCATAAGCAGTGATGTCTTGCCGCAGCCGCCGTCACCTACGATCACGATCTTCAGCTCCTTCCTGCCCGGGCCCGGGCCCGGGGCCCCGGGGGCATCCATAGCTGTGAGCAGCCAGCACTGGCAATCTCGCGCCGGGCGGACCTCTGGGGCTGAACGATCGGGGGTGGGGGCGGGATCCAGGGGGCGGGACGAAATAAGCCCCGCCCACTACGTGCCTGCATTGCCTCCGCCAGGCAGCCACCCGGGCTCACCTCCCAGCCTCAGTTTTCCTTTGTTAGGGTCCCCGCGCGGGGCGTTCACCTTTCATTCCCAGGGAAACTGAGGCAACTGAGGAAGGGGGTACTCGGCCTGTAGCGCCGCTCCCACTCCCTCCCCTGCACGTCAAGGCGCGCCCCCCATCGACAAGATTCGATCGTTTCGTTTCCGCCGTTCCTCGCCGGACACCCCTGATTGGCAGGCTCCGCCTTCTGGCAGGGACCCTCTGATTGGCCGGCTCGGCCTCCCCCCTCCCCCGCGTCGGACAGGGACCCTTTGATTGGCGGATCGTTGCCCCAGCACCAGGGGTCCAGGAGCCGTGGTTTCAGGCTCTGGGAAAAACCCCTTGTCTGTACCCCGCCTCAGCTGTGTGGCCTGGGGCAAGTCGGCTTCCGACCAGTTTCCCCACGAGGTAGGTTGGTAGTGCCCGGGAAGATGCTGGCACGGGGGGCGTGTCTGCTCACCTAGCCCAACCCTACGGGCGCCAGTGTGGGTGAGGGCTGGGGTGGGGAATAGCGGTTTCCCTCACCTACCCCCCCCACCTCCCCAAGAGCGCAAGGTGGACGTCTGGCGCCCTCTGGCGGGCAATCGCCTTGGGGCGGGCAGCTTGGAGAGCAGGTGAACGACTCCGGAACAATATCCTTTGGGGGTTGGCCCCGAACCACGCGGGCGGAAGTCTCTTTCTAGCAGGGACCAGAGGCGTGAACCGAGGAAAAACACCGTCGAGGAAGGGATGGGGAAAGCCAGGGCAGATCTAGTTGAGATAAGCTGGGCCCCTCGAGAACACCCACCCCACCCTGAAATTTGATTAAGCTCTCTCCAGCCAGCAGCCACGTATCTTCATCCCAAGGATTCTCACCAACCGTCCCACTTCCCTGATCAAAACAGCTATTTATTGAGCACAATGTACAGGTACTGTCGCGGCTGCTGGCTGAGATCACCCCTGTCCCCCATTCCTTCCCTCCCCGCGACCCTGGGCCCACGGTCCGTTGCACGAGCCAGGCGAGTGGTCAGGAGAGGCGGGGGACCCCTGGAGCCAGGGTGCGGCCGGCAGGTACTGACTGAGGCATTGGCAAGCGAGACACGGGTCCTACGAGCTGGGGTAGGACCTCTGGTAGTTTCCTCAGAGGGTTTGGAAGAACTCAGGATGTTCTAGCCCCCCCCACCCCCCCTCCCCGCAATCCCCCGGGAAGATTTTCCATTTTCAAGTTCTCAGCAAAGACCAGGTAAACTTTACTTCACGGAGGAAACTGCCAACCTGGCAATTCCATAAACGCCGGGTAGGTTTTCCGCGGGTGCAAGGCAAGGTCTGACCACCAGAGGGCAGCAGCGACCGCTCGTGGAAGCTTACAAATAAGAGCCCAGAGCTGGGAAAAGGAGGTAAGGCCCAGCTCCAGGTTGAGTCCTATGTCCCGTCACTGGGTGGGAGGGTCACGGGCTGGGTCAAGCACCCCCACACAAATTTACAGCAACTCATTCATTCCTTTTTTGCAACACAAGTTTATTGAGAGGCAACTGTACTCCTGCCTGCAAGGAGCTGTCTTGGGGAAGCAGTCTGAAGGAGCCTGGGAGATGTGAACAGTTAAAGAGACAAGAACCTCTGTAGGGTCCAGGGAAGGTTGAGCCTCAGCTAGGCAGCGTTGGGAGGGCAGACCAGTGGAAGCAGGATGGGTACCCTGGGCAAAGGCATGGTGCCTGGAAAACCCCATGAGGTTCCACAGCGCCTGGGCAGCGAAGACGGAGACCAGACATGGTTGTCAAGGTAACTGGGGTTAGATCAGGGAGGGCCTTGCTGCCAGGCTCAAGAGGGGTGTCGGACGGAAAGCTCCTCAAAAGAAGCGCCCAGCCAAAGCCAGGCCCTCAAGCTCTCTGGTGACCCAAGAGGAACTGACTGGCTGGTGAGGCAGGGCTGGGGTCATGTTTCCATAGTGGCAGCCTGAGGCTAGCAGGAGAGGAAGGATGGAAGAGTGAGGGGACACCTGCTTACCTTCACAGCCAGCCCCAGGCCTGACCCTGAGTCAGGGACCCCTGAAGCTCAGGGGGGACTGGAGGACAAGAGAAGGAGGGGCCGGGGGGAGAATTCAGTTAGGAGGGTCACCGCACTCTTAGCAAACCGTCACCTGGGGGTTAACCACACCTCCTGACTTTCCTCAAAATCCTGGACCTCAAGTTTCCATTTTCTCCACCTGAGAAACAGGACTCTGATCCCAACTTAAGACAGAACAAATGGCTTCCACAAAACTGAGGGGGGGAGGGGAGGAAAGGCGAGGCTTCCCAGCCCTGCCTGCATCCAGGCAGAACAGCTGACACTGGCCCCAGCCGGCCCGCCCACCCACCCACCCACGGCTGGCCAAGAGGCTGGCAGAACCCCAGCCCCACCCGGCCTGGAGTGTGTTTGATTTGGACCCAGCTCCAGGGGTGGTGAAGAGGCTGGATCTGTACCTAAAAATACCCAGGAGCCAGGCCAGCTGCTGAGAGCTTCCTCAGAGGCAGCTGGGCCGCCGCAGGCCAGCTGAGGAGCTGGGTCTGCCCGCACGCATGGGGAGAACGTGCTCCCTTACCTGTCAGATGTTCTGAGGACCCGAGTCATTCACCTTCTATTCACCAGAATTCCTGGAAAGGTTTAGGAAAGCAAGAAAGATTCTTTAAATTGGATCTTAACACAGAGCTTTGGACACAGAAGCCTAGGGGAGCAGGCCAGGTGGCATTTGTGGGGGGAACTCACTCGGCCAGTGCGATCGTAAGGCCAACCGAGCCCAGGAGAGAACTCAGGGCCAGATCCACTTCTGTCCTGTTGGAGCGAAGTCTGACCAGCATAGGTAAGGATGGGGCAGTTAACGACAATTCTTCCAGCTTCTACTTCCCTGGTACCTGAGAACATCCTAAGAGGTCACCTCACACCTGAGGGGTCATCCACCCCGATGAGACAGAAGACACTGAGCTATTCTTTGAGGTACCAGAGATGGGAGGTGGTCAGGGTTGGGCGGGGAGTCAAGGGCTCTCTCCAGGGCTCAGGACCTGGTGGTGCTGGTGGGGAGGTCATGCTGAAACACAAAAAGCTCCCCTCACAAAGCCAGACTCAGAGACGGCTCAAAAGGCCATCGTCCACCTTCCTCCTCCTGGTTCACATGGGGAGACCTCAGCTCCCAGAGGGGCGGGGACTTGCTGAGGTCACTGGCCAGCTGGAGACGGCGCTGGACCCAGGCGGCCTCCAAGATGGCGGGGTGCCTCTTGCCACAGCCCAGGCAGAGGCAGTCTCCACCCAGAGGGTCCAAAAGGTCGGATTCCAGGCTGGGGCTCCCGGTGGATGAGCCGGAAGAGGCGGGACCCTGGTGTCCAGTAGCGAGGCAGGTCCAGCCACCTCCCAGCCTTGGGCCGCCCTTCCGCTGGCGTGGCCCTCTCCAAGCTGGCCCCACCGGATTGGCGCCAGGGGCAGCCCCGCCCTGAGCTCGCGGGGCGACCGGGGGGCGGGGCCAACCTCCGAGCCAGGAGGAACCACAGCCGGAGGACAGACAGGCTGCTGCGCCCCTCCCTGCCCCCGGGGGGCGATGGGGGGGTGCGGTGGGGGGGGGGGACAAAGAAAGGTGAAAGAGGTAAAGAAGAAAGGGAAGTGGGGAGGGGGTATGGCCCTTACAGGTCATCGGGCCACCTCTCCCTCGCAAAAATCACATCCAGACCACACGTTCGCACCTAATTGCTTCCTAATTGTTCCGAGGGCGGGAGTGGAGGACCTGGCTCTAGCCCTCCAGGCAGTGGCTGGGAGGGGGGGGGAGTTTAAATCAATTATTTAACCATCCGATGCCCATGGGACATAAAGACCCCTGTCTCCGGGAGCCCTAAGGACCCTATCTAAAGGGATGGCGGACACCCTCAGGCAGCAAGCCAGTCACCTGAGGATCAAAGGGGTTGAAAGAGCAATTCAATAGCAGCACCGAATTTGAAATCTTGATTCTGGGCCAGAGTGGAAGGAAGAGGCGCACGGGGTATTAAGAACGTGAACCTCATCAACTTTTACAAAGCGTCCCCCTCCTCCCTGGGGGAAGGGTCTGGTGCCAGGTGCAGCAGAATGAACCTCCTTCCCCCACCAGCAAAGGACAAGATGGACCAAACCCAGCTTATTGGGACTGTAGACCCTCATGGGGCCAAGGGAAGGGGGCCAAAAGGAGCCAAGAGCACCACGCTGGTTACTTTCAACCAGACAGCTTTCCCAGCTTCCTGGCAGTGATGCCTGGCATGGGAGGGAGCCCAAAATAACCCAGACAGCTGGGGTGGGGGGGTGCCATGGACACAGGCGATGGGCTGCAAATCAAGACACCTGGAACCCCATCCTGGCTGCCAGTGGTGGCCTCGTGACCTTGGGTGAGTCACTTCCACTCTCTGGGACCCCAAATCATGACCCAATCATGGAACAGCTGGGGACAGGCCACCATTCCAACTCAAACCACACAGGAGGAAAATTGGGGCTGGCTCCCTGCCCAAGGAAAGTCAGTCTTCCCCTTTGCCCTGAAGCTTTGCCACGTGCCTCCGGGGTGGGTTGGTGGGGGAGGAGCTCGCAGACAGCCCAACCCCCACTCCCTGCAGCCACATGGGAATGGAGGCCAACTAGTGTGAAGCCTGAACGTGAGGCCAAGCCCCCTTAATCACACTTAATCCTCCCACTCCCGTTTCCAGCCTGCGTCTTTATTATCATTTCACACTGGAGACTCACCCAAGGTCACCAGCACAGCCACCAGACTTAGAGCCTCCCTTGATTAAGCGTCAAGATGGCTCTCAGCCAAACCTCCAGGTCAAGCCCTTCAGGCTCCCCCAAACTTAAGTTTAGCCCTCACACTGAGGGGTGGGGTAAAAGTGGGCAGGGCTCATCCCACAAGGAAGCCAAACCTCAGTCCAAACGGGGGAGTGGTGCGGATCAGTGGCACCTGGACCCAAATGGTTCATCAAAGTAATCCCTAGCTAGAGATCACATGCGGGAGGGATCAGAGATCAAGGGCCACACCACCTGCAGCTGTGGAGCCTCGTGGAGCCTCCTGGAGCCAGGCAGTGGGAAACTATGAGCAGTCAGCTTGTGTTAGCAGAGTAAGGAGAGCGCTGCCATTACTCGGAAGCTGACACCTCTATCAGGCGCTGAGCTTGGGGTTTCAAGTGCACTCGCTCCTGCCCCCTCACAAAACCTCCAGGTGTTACCCAGCCCAAAGGTTCTCAAAACGTGTCCTCGGATTGCAGCCATCAGCATCACCTGGGAACTTGTTAGAACTCCAAGTTCTCCGTCCCCACCTACTGAATCAAAAACTGGGCCCTGGAAACGGTTCTAAAAAGCATGCTCAGGACAGGGAATCACTGACCCAGGCCCATTTGTGCACAAGGGGAACTGGGCTCCGAGACTAAGTCAAAGTCACAGCACGTAAATGGCTAGCCAGGTTTCAAATCCCAGTTTGTCTGATTTTAGAAACAGGATTTGGGGGGGGGGGCTTTGCAGAGAATGGTGGAATTCCCAGGAATGGGGAGAAGGGTCAAGAAACCTCTTTCTCAGAGGAAGCTGGCCCAGCTCTCAGGTACTTGTGTTCTCCACCTCCCTAGCAGCTAGACATCAGAGGGAAGAGGCCAGCTCACAGTCACCCCACACGCCCCCACTCAGGGCCGGAAGGGAGGGCCAGAGCAGGGCCCGGCTTCCTGGCAGCAGATGGAACCTTTCAGAAGAGGCACCCAGGGCCCTCCCCCCAACCACCACAAAACACACAACTGGGAAATACTTGCAAGTGCAGCCTTCTATGCGGCTCAACACTGCATAGAACTGCACGCCCCAAACTCTTGACAACAGAAGCTGACAGGCGGGGATGGATGGACCGAGCAGGCCCAGCAGGGAGCCGATTTCACACACACAGTCCCACACATCTGTGTGGGGGAGGGGCTGCAGAACCAGCCTAGCGGGTTTGGGGTGCCCGCCCTCCCTGGGCTCCAGGCCCAAGCCCCCCAAATCTCCCTCGCAGGCTGGCAAAGGACTCACACCTACCTTGTTATCAGAGTGAAATTAGGCCTGCTCCTGCTGTCCAAAGGAGGATGGGTCACTCTGGGGGTACCCGGTGGTTGCCCTTTCTCCAGCCAAGAAGCCTGACAGGGCAAAGTCGGAGGGTTTGTTAGGGAGTTGACAGCCACAAACCGGGCAGGGTCCCCTTGAGGGAGTAGAGGGAGCCTCACAAAAGCCCCCCCCCTTTTCCATCCGCCCAGGCGGCCCTCACTCTGGAAAGGATGGGGGGGTGCGGCTGAGTCACGAAGGTTCAGCCCGGGCGACTAGCAGCAGGAGGCGACTCATCTGCATTTCCAAAGGCCCGCCCCGTCCATATCCCCTCCCCGAGAAAGGGCCGGAGATGTGAGGGCTTACCCTAGAGCCCTCCGCCTCGGGGGATCCCGGGGAAGGCCCGCTCAGCTTTCCCAGGCCGCAAGCCTCCCACCGCCCCCCCCCCGCCCCCGGGCTCTAGAGCGCAGGGTTGGAGGGTGTGCCCTGAACGACCAAATCAGGACGTCAGTGGCCTCCGGGAGGGCCTCAAGCCCAAACTGGGGACAAAGGGAGCCCCCTACCCTTCGTGCTCGGCTGTCACGGGCGGGGAGAGCCAAACTTGGGCGCCGAGGCCCGGGTAGGCAGCGGGGATCGGACTAGGGTCAGGGCCGGGCCTGGAGGGAGGCTTCCCCCGCCTCGGGAGGCGCCGGTCGGAGTCAGGGGGAGCCTCGAGGCCCCGACCGTCCCCGTGGCCCTTTGCTACTGGCTCCCGCGGCCCCGCCTAGCAGTGAGGCGTCCTCGTGCCCGCAGGGGCCGCCGTGTCGGGAGCGGGGTCCGAACCCGCTGCGGAGCCCGCGCTCGTCGTCGAGG